TGCTCCAGAGGAAAGAGGGAGAAAGAATAAGAGAGAGAGGGAAAGAAAGAATTGAGCGAGAAATGAATGCCACCTAACAGCACCATTAGAATGGAAAGATGCATAGATGCATGACTGCAGTCTGTTTTCCAAGCAAGTGAAAATCTACAGATAGTCAAGAAAGAGTTGCGATTAACCATTATTTTGATAAGCAACTGTTAATAATCTATTCAATTAATCAGCTTAAAAAATAAGTTTTATTCATTTTTTATTAACAAAAAAATTTTTATTTGTCATTATTTTATATATTACCGTATTGTCCCGAATATAAGACGATCTTTTTTTCTTGGAAATACATCTGAAAAAACGCGGTCGTCTTATATTCAGGGTCTAGACTTTGACATGTCAATAATACACCCACAAGAATAGGTGGCGCCAAATACGCATAAAACGAGTGTGCCATGAAATACGTAATGTAATGTGTGTTGTAAAGATCGCGACTAAAAACAAAAGAAAAGAAAACCTTACAGCTGCATGAATCGAAAAATATGCAATATGAAAATAATTGAAGACAAAATGTGTTTTACTGAGAAAAAACAAGATTTGGTTTTTAAAAAGCCTTTTTCCAAAAGGTACATCTGGAAAAAGGGGGGGTCGTCTTATAATCAGGGTCGTCTTATATTCGGGCCAATACGGTAATATAATTCAATTTTATTTATTGGCTCAATGGCACACTTTTTTTAACCATTTCAATAGCATTTAAATACATTTACATTTAGTCATTTAGCAGACACTTTTATTCAAAGCGACTTACAAATAAGGACAAATAAAATAAAAATAAAATAAATGTAAAAAAAATAAATAAAAAAAAATAAAAATGTTATAAATTCAAATTAGAATTTTAGGAATTGCTTTTGGAAATTACTTTTTTTTTTTTTTTTATATTAAAATTCACCATAACTCGTCCTGCATTGTTCATGTTACAGACATAAATAACAACGCAAATCAAATTAAATAAGAGCTGTTTTATTACTTTTCCAAGTAATCAGAATTTATCATCTACTAGATTTTTGTCTGGTTTAAAAAAAAACAACAGACTTCCACTGAAGGAAGAACTTAAGCCATATAATATATTTTAATATTATTAATATTAATCATTTTTATTTATTAGCTCAAATGGAACAAGTTTGGGGGCAGGAATATCAAGCTTTTTTAAGTAATAGCATTAAATATGTAAAAATTCACATTCACAATTTTTTAGCAATTGTTTTCCATAATTACATTTTTAATTTTAAGCATAAAAATTCAGTGTAACTTGTCTGCATTACAGAAATAAATGATATTTCGAATCATATTAAACAGAGCACTAAGTGATCAGACATTATTATCCACCTGACCTTTTGTTAACTAATTATTTTCTTCATAAAAAAAAAAAACAATCACAGGACAAGAGATTTGAGTTTTTAAAATGGCATAAATGTCAAAAAGAACCAGAATCAAGAAGCTATTTTAAAACCATAGCGAAATTTCCAGGATGTGCAGTATTTCTCGACAGGCCGTGTAAAGGTGAACGTGTCTGTCATAGAGTAAAAGTCACCTCTTAGTAAATTAGAATAATAAATGCGGCTGACATTCCAATCTGTGAGGGTCACACTGAATCAGTTCAACTCTTTAGTCACACAATTTCTAGATAAGACTAATGGAAGAGCAGCCCTGCCAATCTTAATATCTTACCCTGGGGGAAAAAAACCCACAGACCTCAGAGTAACATAAGATCAGACTGGGCCTCTCCAACCACTCACTCAAAGGTGCATTACTTTCCTTGCCTTTTTAATTAAGTGCACACACACCTCATCAGCCTTGTACACACACACACACACACACACACACACACAAGAACAAGCACAATTCCACAAATTCCATCGTCTCAATGTGTCTTTGTCTTACATCAATAGTTCAACCAGTAAATTAACAGCAAATTCTCGACTCTTACACTATATTCCAGGTCTATTCATTCAAAAACCACTGTATCCAGATAATTGAATCAGTGAGTTTAACTCGAGATACTGATGAGTCTGATTTGTTTACTTAACCCTCTAGTGCTGTTTGGACAACTTTTACCTAAAAAATTTAGTTTTTTTTTTTTTTTTACTTCATTGGAATGGTACAAAACTTTCTATTGGCACTTGCTTTGTGCACACACAAAATTAATGGTCATACAAAATGGTTAAACGGTCCTGAAAAAAATATTTACACTTGTATTGGAAATGAAAGAAAGCAAATTTCATCTAATGGTACTGCGCACAAACAAAATCTTACTGAAAGCTCATTTTTTAAGATATCAACCTCAAATTTAGAACACAACTTCTTTAGATTTATGGCTTTGGTTTTCATGCAATTTGTATGCAGTGTAATACATGTTTTAGAAAATATACATTTCATATAAAATTTTAAAACAGTATTTTTGTGAATTTTTTAAAATAATACATTTAGAAATTTAATAAGAAATTGTATTTCACTTTTATAATCTGCCAAGTGTCTTCTTTAAAAAGAGATCAACCAGCATAACAAAAAATGTTTCTGAAGACAATCACCTATTGCACCTTTAAGTCTGAGATTCAAAGCATTCAAGATTTATGACAGTTTAAGTTGGAAATTTCATTTGAGGTCTATGCTCAAAAAATGGTTAATGGGTAATAAATGAATCATTATTCCGTATAATTTAGTACCATAAAATCCCCTAAAAACACAAAATGTTAAATAAAAAACATTATTGAACTAAAATATAGTACATTTCATTTCACTTAAAAAAAAATATATTTTTTGACTGCCACGTGAGCAGCACCAGAGGGTTACAGTACATCTCAAAAGATAGGGTTCTCAAGTTCAACTAAAGGACAAGATTATGAGTGAATTATGATTAAAATTACTTCAGAGGACTTAGTATATAGTGCATAAGTCATTCATACTACTCTTTCGTTTTTTTTTAAATAACTGGTTCAAAAGAACTGCTTCATGCATCATGAATCGGACTGATATGGTTCTCAAGTTCAAGTAAAGGACAAGATTATCAAATACACTGAATGTCTAATTTAATATACTTAGCATATAGTGCATGAGACATTTAGACTACTTTTATTGTGCTTTTTGGAGCATGGCAGTCATGGTCACTATGAACAAAACTATTTTTAATTGTTTATTTTGGTCATTCTGTTTGTTCATTGACTCAGTCTCGCTGGTGAAGGGTTAAACTCTCTCTGTGGGACATCTGATGACAAGTAGGCGGGTTTTGGCTTGCCACATCCTGCCATCCCATCATGCCATGTTCAGACTGGTTACTTCTCAGCTGGGAGGGGGGCTCTCTCACCTGCAACCCCTCACACGACCTGCGGAATATGCCCTCTCGAGCTGCCCAAGTGCACAATAACACACTAATAGAACATTAAGGATTCACTGGAGCACAGTTTTACGGTGGATATTTATAGCAGACGGTGCCTGGTGCTGACGTCAGGACTAATGCCATACGGTTCTCCCCTCCCTTCCTCACACAGGGTGATTAATGAGGAGCCGCTCACTATACAGAACATCACAGTCCACTGGAGTCTCCCTGTTTAACAGCAGACAGCTGAGTCCAAATATCATTCAGTTTCATCATTCATTTTCCTGTCGTTCCCTTTCAGAATGCCGCAATGATGGGATTTATGTGTCTGACGTTCATGTGAAATCCGTTCGGGATACACTAAGATTGGTATGGATTATGATGGTTTACTGGATTGCTGTGGGAGTAGGGATTATGACGTTGAAAAATGTACATCCTTACGAACAAATGTTAAAATATACGTACTGAATAAAATAAAATAAAATAATTAGTTTGGTCAAGAAATAGTTTGGACAGACGTATGCTATCTTTGCATATATCTTGCATATTTCAGAAAGTTTTTTAAGACATTACTATTTAAAAAAAAAAAAACTTTTTACTTTTAGCATTGATGCATTACATTTTTTATAGTCACAGTAAAGACTTTTTCATTGTTACAAAAAAATATATTTTCAAATAGATGCTGAAAAATCCTGAAGAAAAAGTTCCAAAAAAATTTTGTTTTCAACACTGATAATAAGAAAAATGCTTTCTGACTAAACACAGATGTGAAAAGCCTATATATGTGGCAGCACAACTAGCCACTTTAGCCAATCCACACAATTTTTATATAATATACGATTTTCAAGAATGACACCACACCCTGGAGACAGACAGAGCATATATTCTCTTAAAAATAAACTGTAAGGCCACTTCTTTTCATGAGCCATTTTCTGTATAGGTTTCCCGAGTTGCTATATGCTCTCAAATATAAAGGCTATCTGCATCTATGGTTTCACGAAAAAAATTTAACATCCTTGGAACTTTTTCATTGCACAAAAGGTTCTTTACAGTGGAAAAAAGTGCTTTTGGGAACCAAAAAATGGTTCGTAGCAGTGAAAACCTCTATTTGAAACCTATACTGATAAGAATTTATGGTTCTTTGGAAAGTAAATAAGTTACATCTTAAGGTTCTCGTATAATCATATTGGTTCTTTAGCTCTTAAAAGAAACAGAAGGTCTACTAAATAACTAGAATGTGAAACTTCTTAGCAGGGTTTAAATAGGTTCTCCTATGGCCTAAAAGTGACCTAAAAGCCTTTTGGCTCCAGCTGGAACCTTCATTTTTGAGAGCGTGGTCTTTCAGTACTGAGAAGCCTGCTGTGATCTGTAATAGAAGTGTTGGTTTGACACCATTGCTCCTAAACAAATCAATAATCCTATCTAGCCCTGCCAGCTGTGCTTATGAGTGGAAAACACATGCACAAAGCACTTTATATGATATATTTAAGTGACATAATCGTGTCATTTATATAAATTATATTTATACATATTTATAAAGTGATATTTATATGACATAATCACTGCATAATTCCTGCTAACAGAGCATGACCATTCACCCAGTTTCATTCTAACGTGCTTTTAGATAACAGCTGGTAAAGAAAAAGCACTTTTCACAAAAGCAGTTAACGCAGAACCAGCATCGATTGATTGAGAGTAGATATCGGCCCATACTGATTGATCGAGGTGTGAGTGACTGTGTGATTCCCTCCAAACCTGATGGCGGTCTTCTCCATGGCAACAGGACTGTCGACAGAGGGCAGGTCATCAGCTAGAATCTCCTCCGGGCTCCGCGGGTCAATCAGGATACCCCGCTTGTCTTTGTCCTTGATCCCGATGCCTGCTGTGATGGCGTTCCACAAAGCATTCTGGGACTTGGAACCTGATGCAACAATCAGAGATCGAAAGCTCAGAGGGGTGCAGATGACAGAATGCAAGACCAGGGCAGAGAGAGAAATAGAGATAGAAAGACAAAGGAAGAGAAAGAATTCTTGCCAGTTTCCTGTTTTGCAAACATGCAGTCAAGGGGTGAAGGTTTAGCTGGTTAGTCACATGATATTAATGCTCAAGTGATTGGGTTAAATAAATATTTCCACAACTGAGTGCCTGTTGGCAAAGACGGCAGGATGCAGGTTGCATACTTTTAGAGACAACCTGAATGATTTCTAACACCTTTCACTGCTGTTATGATTACAGATCAGTGTGTTTGATCAATGGAGACTGTGAACTTTTGTGTGTCACCCTCATACCCGTTTTCTCACTGTGACAGGAGACACTTTTAAAGTAAAAGTGAAGTCAACAACAAAGTTGCAATTTGATTCCACATACTCACGTGCGAATCGTGCCAGAGGTCTCGCACTGCTCTCTCCGGTTTCATTCGCCACTGTGGAGAGAAAGAACGAAACGCACAGATGGATTTGTGATGTAGACCTTTCTTCAACAATCACGATGACTCACCAGAAATAGTTTTTCTCACCACAAATCTCAAGTTTTTTCAGAAACGGTCATGAAAGTACGAAAATTACTTTTCGGTTTTATGTGAAAATCAATGCTGTTGTTTATGTTGTTTACCTGATGCATATTCCTGCATGCATTAAAATGAAGCATAAATCCCTTCACTCAGTTTGTCATTTGCATATCACTCATGAATATGCAGAGGATATGGTAATACGATAACAATAAAGTAAATGTATAGATATATACACAACATACACAATACAAGGGTGGAATATTTTAGAATTTTGCCATTTGTCCTCAATGAGAGGCTATGGAAGCCTGTTTCCACCATTGAATAAATAAAAAAAAAGTAATTGCGACTTCTTATCTCGCAATTCTAACTTTTTTTCTCGGAATTGTGTGATCTAAACTCACAACTGCGAGTTATAAAGTCAGAAATGCAGGATATAAAGCCAGAATAGCAAGACATAAACTCGCAATTTTGACATTATTATTTGCAATTGCGAGTTTATATCTCACACTTCTGAGAAAAAAGTCAGAACTGCGAGATATCGCAATTGTGAGAAAAAAATGTCAGAATTGTGAGATAAAAAGTCACAATTACCTTTCTTTCTTTTTTATTCAGTGGCATAAATGGGCTTCCATACTGGCAGATGAGAATGAGAAATCCTTTGGAAAGAAAAATCATAAATGAAATCTCAATTGTTTTTCCTAAACATAGCTAACTGAAACTCCTGAAGACTGCTTCAAATCAAAGGTTTCTCATAAGAAACATAATCTAGTAATCTCACATGCCTCAAGGGTTTCAGATGAGATCTAACAATGTCTCAAACTGTGCTCAGATGCTAAAATCTGCAAATGTCTGGAATTTCTTTGTGAACTCAAAATTTCTCATTAAAGTCTAAATCATCTGGCTATGCCATCCACATTCATTACCTATATAACTACCATATTTACTTCACCTCTTATTTTAGAATAAACAATTGAAAGCAGAGTTGATACTTACATGAAACATAACTAAAATAATCTTTGAAACTATGAGAAACAAAAATATTTTTCTACAGAACAGAGGAGTGAAAAAAAGTCAGCAGTTTTGTGCGGTTTGATTTATAGACAGTGAATAAAAAATAAAGGTCACAGATAAATATGTGTGATACCACAGTCCTCCTACATTCTCTATAAAAGCAGACAATAATCCTGCTCTGGTTTAATCGCTGTCAGCTGCTGAAGGGACATCAACCATGCCGTTTTTCTGTGTTTACATGAAGAGTTTCTACTGAAAAAAAGCTCCTTGTTAAACTGTGCCATGGCCTTCACGCTCCTGAGCAGTAAAACTGTCAAACAGCCTCAGGATGGATGAGTAGAAAAAGCCATATGAGGTCAAACACGCAACATGCAGCTGTGTTGTTTACATAGAGGAAGTGCACTGCTGTAAAAACTGAACGAACAGCTCCCCCTGCAGGCCACCTAACGACGCTCATTAATAACAACTGCTTGCTGCAAACCAAATCCACAAGAGGTTTAGAAACCCTAATAACAAAACAGAAGACATCTAGAAACACGTCAAATTAGCAGCTACGAGACTGAACCTGTGAATTAGTGGAGTCTGATTCGTGAACGATTGGTCGTTCCCATTCAGTCGGTTCACTCGGTACAACCATAGGGTACAACAAATGAGTCTGGGATATCGCGCTCTTGCGCCATCTGCTGAAGACACCTGAAAGGCCAAAAACGCATGACGACGTGGGCGGGGCTACCTGCCCACAGCATATAAATGCAGTCGCATGCGTCATTCTCTTTGCTCTTCAGCTCTTCACCGCGCTGTTGTTAGCACACCGTCACGCCACATTATCAAGGCATAAAAGAGAAGTTTTTAGCTCAAGTTTAGCACAGCTAACAAATGGCAAATAAACTTTCTCATGAGAAATGTCTGAGCATAAGCGGAGCATTACTCACCCCTGTCCTATGTAGGGATGCGCCTTTGAAGCAGTGAAGCTTTTACAACAAACTGCGTTGATGCTTCGAAGCTTTTGACAGTGCTCTACTCCGCCATCTGGTGGTCAATAAAAATTCTTCCACCAACTGTATCATTTAGATGTTTTGTTAATTGGGATGTCATTGTAAGATTTAATTGTCTATTTAATAATCATATGTGCCATAGCAAGGCCGCATGTGTGTGTGCAGTGATAGAGTTCCCAAAATTTAGTGTATTTTGCACAATACATTGACAATAAAGACTTTATGTTCTTCATTTTTACGTGCATCAAACTTGTGTCTTTTCACCTTCTAAACAGAATGTTTAATACGCCAATAAAAATCGATGTGCTTTGTATTTGAGCCTAGCCTGAAGCTTCGTTTTTCACAGGTCACGTGACAGAGCCTCATTTCAAGCAATGCTCCGGAACACTGGCTACGTTCGAAATCGCATACTCAATGAGTAGGTACATAATTTCAATAAGTACTTACTTATCGAGCGCTAAAAGAGTATGTACTCTACAGCCAAATCTAGTTAAAGGGTTAGTTCACCCAAAAATGAAAATTTGCCCATAAATTACTCACCCTCAAGTCATTCTAGGGGTTTTTTTATTACTTCCGTCAGACGAGTCCAGTCGTGATCTTTCAAGCTGTTTAATGGCACTCAGTGGGTGTTGCATGCATCAGTCCAACAGAAGTTAAATAAAAAGCGCCCATCCATAAAAAATGTCTCACACGACTCCGGGGGGTGAACAAAGGCCTCCTATAGCGAATCGCTGCGTTTTTGTAAGAAAAATATCCATATTCAAAACGTAATAATCACTTTAATGTAGCTTGCGCCAACAGTTGTACACGGAAGCAGCTCTGGGGCTGATGACGTGTGAGTTCAGCGTTGCGCATGCGCTGGTGAGTCTCGTGAAAACCAACGTTTGTTAACAGGAGCAAATGATTATTACGTTTTGAATATGGATATTTTTCTTACGAAAACGCAGCGATCCGCTACAGGAGAAAAAATTGTGAGTTGATTTAAGTTTTTATATTTTTAACCCTACTTATATGACCCAGATTTAACTCTCTTTGTTTCATCCCTCAGGCTTATAAATAGCAACAACAACAACAAATGCAATTTTTTGATGCATTATGATTATATGAATATTATGAATATATATAGATTATTCAAAGATATTTACCCTTGAAATTGTGCCTTTTTTTCTGTGTATATATTCTCATACTATGATGTACGCAAACCCATTATGTTTTCTATTATGATTGTTCATTGTTAAAGATACAACCATCTTTCCCTGAGCTTTTATGTAATTAAAAGTTCTGCAGTAATAATAATAAAATGAAGACAAGAGAGACAGGTGCACTATCGCCTCATAGCATCAGTAACTGCACAACCCTACCTAGTATGGTTTTCTGCAGAGTTTGCACAAAGGAGACGTCGGTCAACTTGAAGATCTGGCATTTGGAGAAGACTGCTGATATTATACTCGAAAAATGTAAGTATTGCTACTTAAAAACTAAGATTGCCCCAGCATTGCTAGCCCACGCCAAAAACTTACAATAATAATGATCAATGCTGACCAATAATTAGTTCATTTCATGTATAATTTTTAGTAAAGCAAGCAAAATGTAATTTGTTTTGTCATATGCCACAGGTATGCATGAATACACACTAGACAAATGCAGTAAGGGGAATGCATCTCAATTTTCAGTCAAGTAATGAATTAATGCATAAATTAATGAAACAATTATATTTTATTTACTGACAACAGGAAACATGAATAAATGAACAAAAGAATAAAAGTAACCATGAAAATAAATAAATACAAGTCAACAATACATGAAACAAAGCTTTATTCAAACTGATTCTAACAATGGGATGGAAAATGGACATTGAGGCTGTCTTTGCCTGAGTGCACAGAGAGGATGAGGAAGACCATGATGACGCCCCCTGAACCACACAATCTTGAACAAGAGTGGGAGAACACATGTGGGACAATCTGGCTGCCGCTCCAAACATTCGTGTGCCTGCTCTTTATGAGCACGACTACCTATAAAACATTTACACAGAGTAAAACGTTTTACATTTCACGTTGTCAGCATTCCATTTCTTGCAAAATTTCATTTCATATGCTTACAATTACATGCTAATTTTTGATATAGCTTCATTACTTTTGTGGTGTAGTGAACTGGTCAGCAGAAGGTTGCTGGTTCCGAAGGTTGCAGCCGTCACCGCCAGTGTGTCCTTCAGCAAGCCTCTTTAATCTAGGTTGCTCCAGGAGGATTGGGGGTCCCTGTAATAAGAGCACTGTAAGTCACTTTGCATGAAAGCATCTGCCAAATGCATAAATGTAAATGTGATTTTTTTAAATCCCTTTTTATGTCTTGGGGACAAACGCTCAATAAAGCTGCTAATTTCTTAAAGTTTATTTCTTCAAAGTACTACTATAATATAAATGCATACATATATTTCATACAATTTCTATTTGGGGGGTTTAAAGGGTTAGTTCACCCAAACATATAAATTCAGTCACTATTAACTTGCCTCAACGCTGTTCAATCCTTGTGTTTTTTTTTTTCTGAACACAAAAGGTGATTTTGGTCAAGTTTGTCCAGCTGGATTCTGTTCCTACAATATCAGTCAATGGAGCCTGACTTTCAGAAGCTTCATGACATTATTTGATGATGCTTTTGAAGCTTCTGAAACTCAGGCTCCATTGACAGATGAAACCAGCAAAACAAACTTGACCAAAATCACATCCTCAGTGTCTTTTAGGCTTTTTCTAGATGTTCTCGCTGGCTCAAGGGCTCACTGAGGATGAAGAGACCACAGCAGCATCCGGCCCAGATGAGGTAACAAGGGTAGGTGGAGTGATGGAGCATCTCATCCATGTCACTGGACCATTTCCAGGATGCTGCTGTGGACTTCTCCATCCTCACTGCTCACACCAGTCTACAGACATTTCAGATCCTACAAAGATGCACAAATATAATACAAAAGCGGTCATTTTAACAGTACAATGTAATTTGATTTCTGTATTAGAAGTAACAAAATGATCTTACTTTATATTTTTGTTTGAGGTTTTCCCTTTTTCCACAAATGCTGCTGTCACCTTTACTTACAGATCCTGCTCCACCACAAAAACTGCAGCAAATGCACAGAAATCAAGAATCAGAAAAGTGCTATAATAGCTCTGTTTGAAATTACAATAATTAAAATAAACTACAACAATGTTTTATTCATTTCAGTAGTATACTCACTGAGAGCCTTTGATGGCTATGTGCTCAATATTATATTTCAATGTTGAGGTAGTTGCTGATGTGTTAACTCACTTTTATCCAACACAAATGTTCCTCATTTTATCAACAGTACTAATGGACAAATAAAACAGATAACTTATGTTTAGTTACTCTATGTAGATTTGTTTATTTACATTACATTCATCTAATGTAAGCAGTGTTGACAACAGTTAATTCTACATGATAGCACACATCACTCACTCAGATGTCTGTTTCATGTCTGTGTGTCAGATATTAAATAGACATTTAGTAATCTTTAAGATGTATATGGTTTATGTAAATTCACTTTGGAGACTTCACTTTGTTCGCTATACATAATAATAAAAACAACTACATACATGTTTTTACAGAAAAATCACAAATATACTGTAACGTTACTGTCTGGCGTCTAACA